ATTAAATTAAAAGATTTTTTATAAAAAAATTTATCAAATACTTTTGTATTTTAAAAGTCATTCTGTACAAAATTTTACCAAACACTTTAAACTTCTCAAAAACAATGCTTTTACAACAATAAATTCTTTTCGACAAGACTTCACCGAACGTTCCCTATATATCTTCTGGAAAAGTTGATGACATGCTTTTTTTTAATTGACATGCTCTCCAGCTGCACGCCAACCAAATTATTTAGTGAAAAAGAAAAAGAGAGGAACCACAATCCCCCAATAACCTGACAAAGAGGTGGGTCGGCTCGGTTATGGGTCAACGCGGAAAATCGTTGAAAATTTGAAAATTTTGTTGGAAAATCGCTGGAAAAAAACCTGCACTGAAGTCATTTTTGGAGTTTTTGTTGAGGTAAGCATGAACCCTATGTCTCTTCAAAGTTCAAACCAATATTATATGTTATTGTAATCCTTGTACATCTTGTTAATTCTTGTAAGGATAGGTCAGATTTGATTTTTATAAAGAGGAATCTTACTCTTGCTAATTTTTTGGGGAGCAGCTGATTTGGTAAGTTCAGCTCTATTTTTTTTTATACAAAACTATTTGTTAAGTCTCTAAACTAACTGTAAATTTATTATTGAACTTTTAAACTTTAATTGATGCATATAAATTTGTAGACTTTATAATTTTGAGGATTTAATCCTTAATTCTTTAACCACTGTAGGACTAAAAGCTAAATTGCCATAAAAAATAAGGATTAAATTGATCAGATAGTAGAGTATAAGGGTTTATATGTATCAATTAAAGTTTGAGAGTTCAATAGCAACTTTAAGGTTAATTCAGGGGCTTAACATATGGTTTTGCCTTTTTTTTTAATCTTCTTCTAGGCGTTGGACTTGTGGAAGGCTAATAAATATGCTCCAGATTATGAGAATTAGTGGTGAGCTAATAAATATGCTCCAGATTATGAGAATTAGTGGTGAGTATTAGATACCGGTATATCTATTACTTATAAGTATTTTACTTATTTGGGTAAATATCTTATATGAATTGTAAAAAAATTAGATAAATAATGGGTATAAAAATTGTATATTTGTAAGTATCAAGTCAAATAATAAATATAAGAATTTAGAACTGTTTACTTAACTTGTTTAACCATTTTAATTAACTAACATATTACCTACACTTATATAATTAAAATTTTATATATACTTATTATACTTAATATATAATAATAGTAATTTTTAAAAATAAAAAAAAATAAAAAAAAAAATCACATATGCAACCTATAAATAATAAATCTTAAACCAAATACATATCATATATGCAACTAACAACTCTTTCCTTTTTTTTGTACTCTTAGGCAATAGTGAATAGTTATAACTTCAAAGTTTGATTGTTTTTAACTTTCTTTCTTTTTTTTTTTTTTTTAATTAGTGATTTTTGAATCATAATCTTTTTTTTATTGTATAATATTTTTTAATTTCAAACTCTAAATTTAACATGATAAGAATAGTAAGTAAAAAAGCATAAATATCAAGATATTAAAATATACACAATACCATCAGCTACTATCTTTTTTTAACAAATTGATGCAAAGGATCACAGGGACTATGAGCTTAAAATCTTGGACATCTTCTTTGAAGGACTTTCATTATGTTATTTAACTTATTTTCATTCTTTATATTTTGGGTACACATTTTTCATTCTTTATTGTTAATTATTTAATTGATTTTAGTTTTTTAATAATACGTAAATTTGAATTTTGATATAAAACCAAATTTTAGTTTTCTATTGTTATTTTAGATTATGTTTAAGTTTAAATTGTCATAAACAATATTTTATTAAAATTTTACTAGTTTTATTTAAGTTTAAATTGAAAGTAAAAATATTTTATAAAATTTTAATTTAAAAAAATTAAAACAAAATATTGTTAAACAAGTATATAAGTGTGTACTTGCAATTTGCTTGATACTTGTCTTGCAAGTTGCTTGATATTTGTTGGGTTAAGTACCAAGAATAACTCTTTAAGTATTTGAGTAAGTACCAAGGCTAATAAACTTTACTAAAAAAATTTTAAATTAAGTACAAAATATATTTCATATCCAACCTATATCCGAAAATGCTCATCCTACTTAGAATTGGTAATTTGGACCCCACAATATGCCCACTCCACTATGAATCCATGAGAATCTGACATATATATTACTATACTCAATTGTGGGAGACATACTCATTTTGACATTCTAGAATCTAAATGGGCAGAGGAGCACCCAATTTCAATACCAGATTTCCAAGCCATTAGTTTTCCTTAGAGCATTTATAATGGTAAAGTTTTCTTTGGTTTGCAGGTGTCCACACACATATATGTAGACATTGACTCTGTTCTTATTCCAACGTGAAAGTTCCTGCTAAACTGTGAACCCAATAACAATAGTTAGTACCAAAATAAAAGTTTCCAGGTTTCTGTGTCACGGTTTAGCTAAGTTGGGTTGGTATCATCCCAGCAACAATTACAATATAAAAGGCCAGCAGAGGCAGCACGCTAGCAATGTGCACACATTACTAATTAATCATCAGTATATATTCTTCTTCATTCCTAGCTAGATGGCCGATGATCTGGTAATTAAGTTATTATTCTTGGGTGTAATCCATTTGGTTTCTGTCCAAGGAATCAAAGGTTGCTTGTAGGGGAGAGGAAGGCTCTTCTAGAATACAAGGCTTTTGTTAACTCAGATGGACAAGATGCAGACCATCTTCTTCCTTCATGGGTTAATGACCCAGAGGATGACTGTTGCAAATGGGAGAGAGTCGATTGTGACTCCACCACAGGCCATGTGATCAAGCTCTCCCTCAGCAATACCAGGCAGTTTGATGTACTTTCTTCTAACATGTATAATCCCAAAAACAGCTGGCATTTAAACATCTCCTTGTTTCAGCCATTAAAAGAGCTAAGAAGTCTCAATTTATCCTTCAATGTAATTGCTGGCTGGATACAGAACAAAGGTATGCTTTAGTAATTTGTTCTCTTCAGAGGCTCAAACAATGTTTAATTTGCCCTTGAGAATTTGATTCTCTGTCGGAAATGATCCTTTAATTGCCTGTACAGTACATGCAAGTTGACTTGCAATGGCGTTTGTCAACTCTTTTTGCAGAATTATCTGTTCTTGAGAACTTAGAAGAGTTGGATTTAGGATCCAACATACTAAATGGCTCGTCAGCTGCACAAGGTACGTGAATCAATAATGCTAATTCTTTCACACCACAACTTACAAATTAAGTTAAGGTCATATTTCATTCAATAAATGACTACTACATTCGTTCAAAATTAGTTGTCTATTTGTGCATTCATTCAAAAACATAACCTATAATGTTAAACCATTGACTTTGTTTAATTGAATAATGCAGTTTAATTGTATATCTCTCTCTAATATATAATCCCTTTAATTAGATGTAACAAGTTTGTCCAAGCTGAGCAAGTTGAAGTACCTATATTTGAAGGATAATATTTTGAATAAAGATATTATCAGAATTTTGGGCACTCTTCCATCCCTTAAATTACTCGACCTTTCAAGAAATTGGTTAAAAGGATCAATTTCCAATAAAGGTACATCTCCATATTCATTTAATTTTTATGGTTAAAATTTGAAATGATATGTCTCTTCTTTTTATCACTAATTCCATGTGCATAATGTTTACAAGAATTCGGTAAGTTGAGCAATGTGGAGGTGCTTACTTTGAGTCAGAATGGCCTCAGTGGAAACTTGCCAATTCAAGGTATTAAGCAAACTCCTTCATTCCACTCCCAAAGTTTAATTGAACTATTTTGATTCTTTGAAAATCTTGCTTGACACTTCCATTCTCGTTCATCTATTCATAGGTTTCACAAGACTAAAGATATTAGATTTGAGTCAGAATCAATTCAGTGGGGGCATCCCTCCATTTGTTGGGCCACTTCATTCTCTAAAAGCATTGTCTTTGTCTTCTAATTTTCAACTTAATGGCTCCTTACCAAATCCTGGTAAGTGATGCAAGATATTGATTTATTTTTAATTTTCCCTTCCATATACATGCAATGACAAGATCGAAGAGACTTGAACATGAAACCTTAACCTATGCTTTAATTATGAGGTTTGCTTCCTACCTTGTTGCTTATAGTATTCTATTTTTGAGAAATAAGGAAGAAGTAATTTCTCATAATTAACCTGATGGTATATTTGAAATGCTAGTGCCACGACTTGTTCTTGGCTTTTGCTTCTATTATTTAATTTCTAAAGCCTCGCAATTTGGGCTTTCAACTTCATTGTTACTATTGTGTAATTGATCTATTTGAGTAAAATTTTTAGGATAATTATTGATATATTTTTTGATTTAATACACTTTATAACATATTTATTAAAAAATTATTTTTTTAAATTTGAATCAAAGGCAAGAAAACTAAAAACTATAGAATTTACTAGTTGAATCAATATGTGTTGTGAGGTGTGTTAAATTGAATAGTTTACCTATTATTTTCTAAATTTTTAACTAGAGTATAGATTTTGTGGTAATAATTTATATCCTTTGGGGCAGGTTTGTGTGGATTAAAGAGGCTTCAAGAGTTGGATCTGAGCCAAAATAGTTTTGAAGGGACACTTCCTCCCTACCTAAACAATTTGACATCTCTTAAACTTTTAGATATCTCTGACAACCACTTCACTGAAAACCTTTCCTCAGATTTGATGCGAAGGCTCCCATCATCCCTCGAATTCATGGATCTTCGTCACAACAATTTCCAAGGCTTATTCTCCTTTAGCTATATTGAAAATCATTCCAAGCTTGAGGTATTCATGCTTACAGGCAACAAAGATAGACTACAAATTGATGCTCAAAGTCTTGGTTGGATCAATCCATTGTTTCAATTGAAGGCATTGGTACTCTCTGATTTGCATCTAAATAGCATTCCAGAGTTTCTTTTTTGCCAACAAAGGTTGAGAGTAATTGATCTCTCTCACAACAAGTTGAAAGAAGAATTCCCTATTTTGCTGCTGCAAAACAATTATGACCTCAAATTTATGAATTTCAGGAATAACTCTTTTGTTGGTCAATTCATCTATTTGCCATCATATCAAATGCAAAATATGGTTTGGCTGGATCTCTCAAAAAATTATTTTACTGGGAAGTTACCTAAAGATTTTGGAGACAAACTTCCTAGCTTGCAGTATCTTAATTTGTCTTGGAATCAATTTGAAGGTGCTCTACCAAGTAGTCTAGGGAACGTGCGTGATTTGTCCGAGTTGGATTTGTCATTCAATAATTTCCTAGGAGAAGTTCCTAAAGAATTGCTTGTAGGGTGTCGTGGTTTGCAACAACTAATATTGTCGCACAATAAACTTGGTGGTGAGATTTTCTCATCTGAATTCAACTTTAGTAATTTGATGCTGCTGGAGTTGAGCAATAATGAATTCATTGGAAGCCTATCAAATGTGAAGATTGAGACATTGGCCATATTTGATGTTAGCAACAACAACATGACAGGTCCAATTCCCACCTGGATTAATACAGTAAGTTGGAAAATTCCATTAAGGAATAACTCTTTTGAAGGCCAATTTCCATGCCAACAACTTATGTCTCCGTTGCTTTTTCTTGACCTTTCTCAAAATTTTCTTTTTGGTCCTCTACCTACTTGCATTGATTTCACCACAATTTGGGAGATTCATTTAGAAGGGAACAAATTCACTGGATTGTTGCAAGAGTTTCTTCCGAATTCCCCAACTAGTCTTTCTGTGTTGAATCTCAAAGATAACAGCTTGTCCGGTTTCATTCCAGACCTAAATGGTACGTTTTTGAATCTGAAACATCTTCTATTGGGAAAAAATTGTTTAAAAGGTTCGATCCCAGAGACATTGTGTTTATTGGAAAATATGACCATAATGGATTTTTCTAGCAACTCTTTGTCTGGAACAATACCTCCTTGTTTCCAAAATTTGACCTTTAGGGTGATGGAGAATTATGGTAAATCTCCTGCACAAACTATCTCGTTTCACATCCAGTTTACTGATGAAGATCACATATATGAAGATCTCCTGAAGAAGAATCTAAACCTCTTCATATATGTTCCGACTATAGAAGAACTGATCCATAAGATTCATCTGGTTACTAAAAACAGGGAAAGATCTTATGAGGGTAGTATACTAAATTTAATGTCTGCTCTTGACATGTCTGATAATGATTTGGATGGAGAAATTCCTCAACACTTTGGAGTGTTATCTCAAATTCGTTCTTTAAACTTATCTCATAACTGGTTGACGGATCCTATTCCAACTACTTTGTCGATGCTACCAAATATTGAAAGCCTGGACCTCTGCTGCAACAATCTAAGTGGAAAACTTCCTCCAGAGTTAACCAACCTGAACTTCTTGGAGGTCTTCAATGTCTCATACAACAACTTATCCGGAGAGATTCCATTTTCAATGATGATACCACAGTTTTCAACATTTGACCATAGCAGCTATGAAGGAAATCAGTTTCTCTGCGGGCCGCCTTTGGAGAAAGGTTGCATAAATGATACTGAGACACCACGGTTAAAATCATCGCCATCTGATTCAAATAAAGGAAAATGGTATGAAATTGATCTTGCTGCTTTTCTTGCATGTTTTTTTCCAGTATATCTGGTTTTCTTTCTGTTAATGGTGTCCCTTCTCTACATCAACCCTCATTGGCTAACAAGGTCACTTTATTTCATCGATCATTATTATTCCAAGCTAGTAGTTGCTCTCCGGATCTGCTATTATTCGAGATTTCAAGTTGTTAAAGCTTGTTAATGGCCATCCTATTATTGTACATGGACTGTAGCCATTCTATACATAGTTCTTGCATGTGTAAGACCATGTAATCATTTTAGTCCTTAGGCCATGAATAACTCTTGGTTCTTGTACAATCATTATGTAAAAAACTAGCCTATACCAGTGTTCTTGCAATTAAGTTGAAAGTCATGAGAAAGAAGAGACATTATTATACTTAAAATAAGTAAATTGATCAGAATTGTGCCCAACAAAATTAATTAGAAAAATCCAATTCTGCAAATCCACTCAAACTGGCCCAGATTGATCAAATTTAACAAATCATCCACAAGCAGAAAATCAACGAAATTCTCAAATAAACAACATGCAACTGGTGCAGATATCTCCAGAAAATGCAATGAAATATAAATGGAACCTGATGGATTATAGGACATGGAATTGATGAGGAAGGGGCATTCTTGAAGCTGGAGGCAGGAGCAATTGCCGTCTACTATTGTTATGGTTGGCGGCGTTGTTGCTGCTGCTGAAGATGGTCGAGATTCTTTGATGGAGAAAGGAGAGAGAGTCTTGAGAACAGAGCAAAATTTTAGGAAATTATGGTGAATTTTTGAAGAGGCATGAGGATGACGAGGAAGAGAAGGATTCGGGCCGGGGAATTTGCGTACAAAATAAATATTTTTTTGGGCTGATAAATTTTTTTGGTAACTTGGGGAAATTGGGCCGGTGAAGTTGAGTTGGACCTTTTTTTTAGTCCATATAGGAGATGGGTTGTTAGATTGGGTTTTAAATTTTAAAATCTTAAAATAGAATTTGATTTAGATGTAATTACAAAATTTATTATTTAAGAAAAGCAAAGGATTCTATATCTCCAACTCAACTAATCTTCACGTGCATTCATGGGCTACCCAAACTTCCTCTAAAACAAGTTGTCAAGTAATTAAATTATCTCAGAAAAAGACACTTTAATACTGTACTACGAGAGCTTGATTCTCTCTAATTATCTGACATTTTTTTTTTGTAAATTTCAAAAAAAAAAAATAACAATAAATATAAAAATGATTAATTGACATTCAGACATTGAAGAAGTCATTCATCAATTTCGTTGAGGGATGATGGTTAGATCGCTTGGGGTATTTCTAGATTATAGTGTCGCTTTTGAGATGCTATATATTTCTAATTTTTAAGACAAGACTTAACTACTTGCTAATAAATGTGTTTTTTGAATTTATTATGCATTGAATTATTAAAAATAGTATCTATCTATGTTATTTTTTAAAAATTAAGAAAAAAATCATTTTAAAATTATATTATGTTAATAAATTTTTATTAAAAAATTAAAAAATTTTATTTTTAAAATATGAATTATATTATTTTTGATTTTTTTGTATTATTTTAATTATTGAAATAATATAATTTTAAATTAATTTTCTCTTAATTTTTAAAGATAAAGTTAATAAATACTAATCTCTTAAATTATTATCCCAAGAACAATGATAAATGAAACCAAAATTTGAAATCAATGACATATATAAATTGCATTATTTAAAATATTAAAAAATAAATCATATATTATTTAATAATTAACTCTTTTATTTTTTAAAAATTTATAATATTATATATATCAATTAATTTAATAACATAACTTATATTACATCATTAATTTCAAATTTTTATCCTAAATTTTCATCCTTTCTGTCATTACTCTTTTTCCAATATTAGCTGCACTTCAATGATTTGCAAAGTGAGCTGTCTCTAAGGGCGGCTGCAAAGGAACATGGTGTTATGCTTGCTCTGAGTTAGGGGTGTTCATATCCGATCCAATCCGATTGATCCGATCAAAACTGATCCAATTCGATTAAAAATTAAACCAAACCGATATAAAATTGGGTTGGTTTGGATTATAAAAATTTAAAACCGATATAATTGGTTTGGTTTGTGATTTTACTTTCAAACTGCCCGAACCGCCCGATTATAAAAAAATATCCGATTATAAGATAATTTAATTAAATAATATAATATTTTTATAATATTTCACATTTTCTTTTTCTTATTTTACAAGATAATGACTCTATTGATTTAATTAAAAATAAAAAAAAAAAGCATATCTTATATTTCCTAATTTATTTTTTCTTTTTTTTTTAATTATATACCTAAATTTTAATTCTAAATTTCAAATTCCCCTACAATGCTACCTTTATAAGTGAGTTGCAACTTTATTCTTAAAATCCTACCTTCTTGAGTGGCGTGCACTTGCCAAGGTTGTCGTCTTCATTTTGCTAGGTTTATTTTTAAACACATAATATGGGTGTCGACACCATGGGTTAATAGTTCAGAATCAAACTTTTTGTTTCCTATTTTGTGTCGACACGTAATTCAGAGTGTCAGTGCCATACGTTCAGCGTCGATAATTCAAGTTTATTATTCTATTTCAAATCTTACTTCTGTTTCAAATCTTACTTCTATTCCAATTAGGGTTTCTAAAATCTTATAAATACCCATCTAAATTCAGAATTAAAAGAGTTTGGGAAGTTGGTGGCAGCCCTCTTTCGGGTATTCTTGGAGATCAAAATAAAGATTTAAGAATTTGTTTATAATTTTTAAATCTTTTCGATTTTTACAATTGTAAAAAAGTATAAAAATTTGTATATAATTTGTACTTTTTTTAATTATGTTTCTATTTATTTGAATATTAACGTATTTTATATTTATG